ACTAAATAATTATATGTATACTGTATTACATTGTTAATGATTTGATGAAAATTAATACTTGCAAAAACTATAGAGTTATGTAACTTATTATCTAGAAAGTATATTTATCAAAATTTTTATTTATAGTTAACAAGGATTCCTGGAATTGTGGGATGCATCGACGGAACATATGTACCGATTCATACTCCAGCAGGCAGACATCGCCAAATTCATACAAATTGTCATGACCAGACGTCGCTCACACTTCAGGCTATCTGTGATGCTAAAAGGTGGTTTATAGATTGTTTCGCAGGTCCATCAAGTCGATACCACGACTCAAAGATTTTTAAATTATCATTTATTTATCCAGTAGTACATAATCTCGGTAATAATTATCATTTTTTAAGGGATGCTGCCTATGGAATAACGAACAATGTGCTGACACCATATAAAAATTATGGAAATCTTACTAGGCAACAAATAGTTTCTAATAATGAATTAAGCAAAGCTGGAGTAAAAATAGAAAACAATTTCGGATTATTAAAAAGTCAATATAGACATTTTGTTAGCTTTGATTTAAAGAAAGTTGAAAAAACTGCAAATTTTATACTGTGCTGTTGTGTCTTACATAATTTGGCGTTAAAAGATGATGATAGTAATATTTTGAGAAATATTGATCTTCGAAGGAATATAAATAATTACGGCAATAATAATAATATTAATATACATAATAATCTATTAAGATTGCGAAGAATTCGAGGTCAGATAAAGCATAATAATATTGCAGCTTTATTGTAAATATATTTTTAGTTAATTTATGTATGTATGAATTAGTATTAAGTTATGCTACATTCCATATTTAATTTTTCCTTTACTATAATTGGCTATTTATAATTAAAAGATTAAAATATTATTAAATAATCAATATAATGGTAGTTTTAAATTTCAAATTAATTCTAAGTTTTAATGTATTTTTAATTTTGCAAAAACAATTAATTCTAATAAAATTAATATTAACAATAAAAAACCAATGTAATAGTTAAATAGTTTTTTATTCATGTTATTTATAACAAAACCTACAAAATAAATTGTCTTATCAAACATTCGTTTTAAATAATGAACGTTTGTATGCCCCGTTTTTGAATTTTTATACTTCGGAACTTTTCGGGTTAGTTCGGAGTTACTCGGCTCTGCACTGTGCAGGCCGTGTAGCAGCCAAAAACGCTGTTAGTATGAGAACTTAGTTCCCAGAATCCCCTCTAGAGGTTAATGGTTAAAAACAAATATACATATATCAACAACAAGATATGTAGATATCGTGAAGAAAAATATTATATCACTGAACCAGTTTACAATACTTTATTTGAAAAAAAATATTGTCTTTATTCAGACTATGTACACGTTTTTCATAATTATTATGAACTTAATTAATATAATATATTATTAAATTTATTTAACCACACATGACTATCAATAGCAACTGAACATCATCGTTGAATATTAAAAAAAATAAATAAAATAATAAATAATAGTTGCTACATCGTGATAGCAAATAAATATTATTTTTTACAGGGGACATTATTAAGAATAATTAACTAATATCGAAAATATTTCATTACAACAATCTTTACTTGACAGTAATGAAAAATTATGTTAAAAACAATATTGTACTGCTCAAAATAATAAAAAGTCATAACAAGCAAATCATCATTATTAATGACTATTAAACGTTATTTTTTATCATGCTATATTATTTCATACACTACCTAATAGGTAGTAATAACGAAAAAGTGCCTTCCATAATATTTAATTATTGTAATGATACATTATTGTATTCAATATGATTGTCTAATTAATTTCGAATGTAGATTGTTTTTATAAATTATCTTAAACAGTATTCAATTACTTTTATTCATGTTTATTGAATAAAAAAAAATGAATTAATTTACCATTAACAATTAGTGTTTATTAATTTCAATACTTAAATATATTTTTTTGTAGATTTTAATTAATTTTTAACTCTAAAATTAAATTATTATTAATAGCATTTTATTTATAATAATAATTATTGATCATTTAAATAAGTTGAAAAAAGTTTTAAAAAAATTATTTGTAAGTATGACGCAGAGCAGTGGATGCAATGATACATACACGATCTTTCGACGTTAAAACCATTTCTCTTGTACAGGAATTAAATGGGTAACTACTAGGAACACCTCCGAAACTTCTCCACGTCCTGCTGGACCCCCTAAATTCTTTTATGGAGTTAAACCTCCGAATTCGTTTAGGCTGAAAGTGTTGCTAAAGGTGCTAAATTGGGACATACAAAAGAGGTTCAGCAGCAAAATTAGAGACGAATTCTGACTTGGAATATTACCTTTGTTACTCATTGAAAGAATGTAAAGTTTACCTCTTCTAATATCATTAGATGGTAAAAATATATTTTCTAAATAATTAAATTAAAAATGAACATTGCTCTCCAAAGTATTTTTACTTCCCAATAATGGAAATGTTCTCTAAAACATACATATAAATGTGTTGTTATAACAATTGAATGTATACATTCAATCTTTGTATGTATCTTCACAAAGGCGTAATAGTTTGATATGTCACTTTCTTATTTTTAATCTTTATTGAAAATTGTTGACTTTACATCAATCTAATGTCGTTGAGTTATTTAATATTTTCTTTTTTTTCAGTTATTTAGGTCATTGAAAGTAAAGATTCAAAAATCGTTTTTATGGTCTATCAATATAAATTATTGACATAAAATATTTGAGTAGTTCAATTGAATCGCTTGAATATAAATATACCGCATAAAAATTTATTTACAATTTCACAAGATATTTTTGTCCTACATCGTATGCTTCATTAATAATTTCTATGACATTTCTAATCGAATATAATATCAAAGATAATAAATGTAGGTTTCAAAAACCTTTTTTTTTAGTGCACTCGTAATAATACGTGATTTTGATGAATGTTTTAGTAAGTTTTCATGACTCGGTTAAAGCTGAAAATATAAAAAATTGTCTTTTATTTAGTTCATGCAAAGACAAGTTGAATGGCTGTCTATGGACCAAAGCTAGTAGAATTAGTAGTAGTAGATATCGGAGTAATAGTCAGACCTTGATTCAAAGTTGAAAACATGGTAACGGGCTTGATTCGGGCAGCATTCAGAGGATCTCCTATGAAAAGGCGTTCCAGTATCTGAATATATTCCAATTAAAAAGTCGGAGCTTCGTTACACTCGACCCTTTGCCCATTTCTATCTTTTTTTTTTCTCATTTTTCCCCTTTCCAGAACGATGTGCATACGTCTCTCCAGAATAGTTGGTTCCCCGTGGCGTCACTTCCCCTTTTTACTTCTGGCTCTTTACATTTTTTTTCTTTTCTTCAGCCTCCAGCGAGATGGCATTACGTTAATGCCTCCACAATCTTTATCATTGCGACCAACTGTTTCTCCGGCAATTACTCTCGTTTTTTCTAAAGAATTAACAACACAGTATCTTCTTCTCAGCAATAAAAGAATTATTCAAGTCAAAGAGAAAAAAAAAAATTATAAACCCATAAAATCAAGCGATTATTATCAATGAATAAAAGTCACAAAGTCAGTCATGTTAAGCTTTATATTTTATCTGAATAAAATACGCGAGCGTGCCCAAGTATCTTTGAAGAGTCTGTATTTTCCTTAAACTTACACGCAACAATGCATAGTACCCATTTGAGGCGTATGGGTATTACGAAATCTCTCTTAACACTCACTGCTTCACCATAAGAATCCCCTGATGGTTGAAAGTGTCACGCTCAAACCTTCAACATTTTGACGAATCAAAAAACAAGGGCTGGAAAGAATGAGGAAAAAAATCATGAGATCGTGTACGCACGTAAATTATTGAAAACATTATTTTTAGCATTTTTTTCTTTTGTTTTAAAGAATTAATTAATGAGAAAAGTGTGATTGAATGAATTCAAGTGGTGTAATTTTGATACTCTTGTATAGAATAAAATTATGTGATGGATTCAATTACTTTCAGTTCAATAACACTGCTGGTAATCCGCGTGGCAGAAAAGTGGCCACTTGACTTGTATCAGTTTCACCCAATTAGTTCTCCAATGAAAGCAATGGCGCGTGGCAGTTCTATTTTAACTATTATATACAGTATCTATTATTCTAAAATTTATGTAAACATGTATAATCAATTAAATTGATGGTATTTTTATTCAATTATTAATTTTAATCATCTCAGTAGATATTATTTATTAATTATCTACAATTATTTTGGTATTATTAATATTGATATTGTGATCGCAAAGTAAACTTAATAAAATATAAGCATATTATAAGATTCAATTCAGATCTCACGATTAATCAATCAGTCAAAATTATAATTCTACATTAAATTGCTCAGTAAAATTCATTTTTGTGCGTTTGCTACTCATTAAGTTTTTCTCTAAAATAAATTAAAATATACATAAAAAAATTATCTTTGTTTACCTTACTATCAAAATCGTCTAAAAGATTGAATTATTTTTAACAATTTTTCTATGGATCAATTTATAATTTTAAAGTTGAATAAATCAATTTTAAACCAACATTCCACTTATTATTTACGAATTCAATAATTCTCTTAAGGTTTAATATTTTTATCAAAATAACATTTAAATATTTGAACATTTATTAAAAGTTGAAACTATCTAATAATTTAATTAAAGGTTTTTTTTTATATTTCATATCAAATTATGTCATTTGACTTTTTTTTTTGTTTCAGAACAAAATTTATGCAATCAATTTGTTGTTCTGTACTTCGCTTAATATGCTAATTAATGGAGTAATTAATTATTAAAGAGTGGATTTGTTTTTGTGTGAATTATATACATCTTTCTTGAAAACTAAAAATACAATACAATAGAAATTGCACAGATCAATTACCTTTTTGACCAGGTGAACTCAACTAAAAAATAGATAATTACATATTTACATGCAGACTTAATGAGTTTTTGTAAAAATTTTCACACGGGTTAAAGTGGACAACCATGAACATAAGTCACATTACGAAATAGTGCAGCGGCGGTAGAAAGAAAAGCTGCAGTTGATGCTGATGTTGGTACTGGTGGTGGTGGTGGAGGTGGTGGTTGATGGGTCGAACCCGCAGTTTGTGAATAAGTGGGACAATAAGCTTCAATATTGGTGTGATGAAGTCCAACACCACGTACTAAAAGTTCTTTTTCTACCGTCGCTTGATGTCTCAGTTGTTCTAATCTCAATTGGTTTTGTCGTTTCCATTTAGTTCTAAAACAATTAAAAAAATAAATTAATCCATCTATTTATCAGATAATTAAAAGCAAAAGTTGTGAATTTAAAGAATGAGCAACACTGACCTTCTATTTTGATACCAAGTTTTAACTTGAGTTTCTGATAATGACAGAGCATCAGCGACATCACTGCGATCTGCTACGCTGAGATATTTCTGACACCGAAATTTTCGCTCTAAATAAGCCAACTGAGCATGAGTAAATGCTGTGCGTCTTCTGCGTGGTTTTCGACCAGTTGGTGCACCTCCAGACGGTCCACAAGATTTAGTTGAACTAGTAGGTCCTGGTGATGGTGATAATAATGGAGTTGGGCTGCTTAATCTCGTACATGGACTACTTCCAGGATCTATCGTGTCTTCGGAATCTGAATGGAGGGCTGAGTCATCTTCTGAATCATCTAATTGTTTCATCTCTTTTACCATAGTTTAAAAATATTATCTTAAAAATTAATTTAATTTATTTATATTAAATTGTAACTTGTTTAGATAAAAATAAAATTGAACAAAAATGTATTTTATTTATCAAATTATTACTAAATATATAAGCTAAATTGTTACTCAAAATACGTGTCAGCGAAATTTCTAAAAAATGTATCTTGCCAATAAAATTCATTTATTGTAACATTTGAGTAATTTTTTTTATTATTGCAAATCATTTCAAAGGAGTTTATTTTAATTAATTTCTGATATTTATTGGCAATCCGATGGAATTTGCTGATAATAAATTAAAATGAACTTTACTAAAATGAATTTATAATCAAGTATTATAAATTTAGAGAATAATTTTTTAGAAATGAGTAAATTATATTTTATTAGACTATCTTTTTAAACTAAATATTTTGTTGAAAGAATAAAAATGAGCTGTATTCATACTCGTTTATTTTTTGTCAATTGTTAATGTACTAATTAGCTAATTTTTGAGTTAAAATAATTCTCTTTGTAAAATATTATTATTCTACTGATGAATAGCATAAAATGATTGACTTCCCAGGCTATTTTATCAGTATCTTGTGTATTTATAAAGAACATGAGTCTCGTTAACGGACAGCAATAACGCGATTTCGACAACGAGATTTGTCACAGCAGGATATGCACTCTCACCGGAGAAATCGAGTAGTTAACAAGCCCTAACGAATCTGTCCACACCTCGAGCCATCTGTATACAATTCGTATGGAATTACTTTTTGATGGGTTTCACAACCCCCTTGAATTTGTAAATCTCCCATTCAGTAGAATCCTCGACGCTTTCTGTGGCAATTAAATAATACCACTGCGCTACAGGGGACTGTGTAACGAGCTACCCTGTACAGAGGCACGCGACTTTGATTTTTTTTAATATTCTATGCGTTTCTGACTACTTTAAGTGTCGACCAATTAAACAAATATTCTTCAGGATTGTCAATAAAGGGCAATAAATGATAATAAATGAATTTTAATAAAAATTTACCTTGAACTCGTTCTGCAAGAACATCTCCTAGTAAATCTCGGATGAGAAAAGATTTATGTTCTTGCATCATGTTACAATTAATCCCAATCACTAATTGACAACGAAAAAATCAAATTAAAAATATGTATAAAGATTATGGTGAATGAAATTACAACAGGTCACGTTAAAAGAAAAATTGCTGTCAAGTAAATGAAACTTCAATCAAATAATGTACTAAATTATTAATCACCACCGGTAAAAATTCACGAAAATGAACATAAATGATAGAATAACGTATTGAGTTTCATGCTTTTTTTTAGACGCACAACGTATTTCTGCGTGATCACTACCGCTTTTATGACCACCGGACCAGTCTTGAACGTTCTGCACCTTTTTCAGAGATGAGGGAATCACTCACACTCTATTCTCCCTTTTTCATCCCCTCAAATTAATCCGCCCGTTTATTTTGAACGGTGTTTCTAATACTCGCGCGATTTCGCAGCCATTTTGGGGGTGGAGGCACAGTGTCTGTTGTGGTAGATACCGAGAGTTGCTATTCGTAGATCTAAGCATTGCAGAGGGGTTGAAATAGGGGTTGCAAGTACTAGGGATTGGTTGAACCTTTGCTAAAGCTCAGTGGATTGGTCTTGAATTCCAGAGGCATGATAACGGTGGGGTAAGTAATGTAAAATATTTCTAAAGAGATTGGGAAAGGGAAACAGTAGTTAGATGCCACAAAAGTTATATCTCCGCAATTAATCACAAGTCAGAAAATTTTTTTTTTATATTCTTAGATTTGCATTATTTTTTAATTAACCTTTAAAAACAACTTTTTATATTTCATATTATCCTTGATATTTCTTTTCGTTACTGTTTTTTTCAAACATTGTTTTGTTTGTTTAAAGTCTGTAAAATTTTCAGAATCATTTATAACAATGTAAACGTAATAAAGAACCACTGAAAACATCTGTTCCTTCATTTATGAAATTTTCGGAGTTGAAATAATTTCTACAAGAGGGTCGGTGAGAAACACTTGTCAGTAGTTTGCAAACTCTCGGTCAACAAGGATTGGGCTATGATCGTAAATATGTATGATACACTTTCACCCTTATATTTTGCATTCTCTCATCCATCTCGTCCATCTCATCCTCATCCTCTCCGGCGCCCTGTTAGTCTATTCAATGTGCACTACTTATCTTCTACATGCACATATGCGAGTCTCCATAAATATATGTACAAACCTCACTCGCTTCTATATCAGTTTTGTGAGCGTGTATTCAAGCTCACAGAATGCTTCAAAAATAAAAATAATCGTGATTATATTCACCAATTCATATAGTTTGTGAATTTATGCAGCTTCAATAAAAAATTTCCTATCCATAAAATCCACCATACTGCAAAATTTTTCCTAAAATAACAAAGTTTATTAATTTGAAATGATTAAAGATTTCCATAATAATTAAACAATAAATAATTTAAATTCTTAATTAATGATTATTATTATTATGACTATGATTATTATTTTTATTAATGCAGATAAAAAACATGGAATTAATATAGAATAAAACGTGTTATTGCATAAAATTTGAAAGACTAGCGCGTGCGTAAGTGGCTACGTAATGTCATCATGTCATTACAATTCATAGTAGAGCATCGTCAGGTTGAAAGCAAACATTTATAAGAGAAAAAGAGAAGAAAGACTGAGAAAATAAACGAAAAACCAGACATCTTTTCCTAACGTGATTTTTGAAATTCATTAAAAATTAACGTATGCACAAAATTAATTCAAGAGCTGGCAAAGCGGCTAGGACTCAGTTCGAATTAAAGTAAAAGAGCTCGTGAACTGCGCAAATTCAAATGAATTTTAATATAACCAATCTTCGAGAATTTTCTCTCTTCTTTATGTGAACAAGTCTCGATGTCTTTTTTTCGTACTGAATTTATGAATTTTTATACGCTCATTAAAAACTTGTGTAAGAGATATAATATTTTACATTTTCCAAGCACTTGTAGAGCTTATCAAATTTTATTTTAATATAGCAACCCTTGACCTGAGGATAAAAAATCTTTTATTAAATATTTTTTTCCTTTTTTCTTTTTTTTTTTTGTAGTAAAAAGTGTGTTGATTACCTTGATGATATTTTCTTCAAAAGGGGATACTTGAATCTAATTCTCGCTTCGAAATTGATACATTTGCGGGATAAAAGTAGATAGATTTGTAGTAATAAATGTAATGAATGACTGTGACAGTAGCAAGGGGAATTTGCGATATAATACAAGAATATTCTCTCTGTGGGCATCACAAATTGCCGATAACGATCTCCCGGGCAATTTCAACAAGTTCGTTCTCTACCCCCACGAACTGATTTCCATTGATTTACCTTACATTTGGGGTCGCGAACAGATGCGATAATATTTGGATCACAGAGTGATCACTAATTTTTGATTCAAGCTCGCATAATTGTCATTCATGTTGTTAAATTGTACCAATTGTTATTTGTAATCCAATTTTAATATCTACTATTAATGAGGAAATATAAAATCAAAACTAAATTAGTGTTCTTATAAAAGTACTAAATTATACTTGAAGATTTCACCGATGAATATTCTTATTTAATAATTTTATGCACTTATCAAATACAAAAAAATTTAATTAGTTCATAAGTAAAATGAAAATATCGATTATATTGATATCAGTTAAAGTGAAATTTTTCAACAATAAACGTTAATTTTTTCTTTCAAATAATAATAAATATTTCTCGATAACTTACTACATAATAGTCCAATTTATATAAAGGGATTTGATGCTATAGAATTCTGAGATAAATTGCGACAAATCGTAATATTTTCGCTCAATGATTTCTCAAAGAAAGTACAAGCTGATGTACCACGTAAAGAAGCATTGTGTTGAAGAGATACGTATATTGAAGTTCTTTTCTTGTTCGAAGACACTCTCGAAGAGAGATGATGGTTATGCGAAAAGAGTGCTTGAACACGGACGTTGGTCAGGCTCCCGTGGTTCCAATTACGAGAAAAAGTCATTCCTGTCCGCTTCTTTTTCTATACCACGCTATCTGCAACTCTTGAAAAACCGAGCACTTATTTTCATTTTTGCCATCATTCTCTATTCCTTTGATTTCCATTAGATTAATCCTTACATTTTCAATCTAACTATTAAAATAAAAAAATGCTATAAAAAAGGTTCATTTTTAATAAACGGTTTTTAAATAATTAATAATCACATAATATTTTGAATCAATCTATTTAACTGAAATCAATCTAGTGCCTTTTTCTCGTAATTAATTGAAATCATGATAAAAAAAAGATAAATGTATTTTTTTTTACTAGAAAACAGTTATAACTGTTTTTAGTATATTTATACTAACGATAAATTATGTAAATTACAGTGGTTAAAACTCACTCAAAGATATCCTAAAAAAAAAAAAATAAAGCAAAACATTTATTTATAATTTATCTGAATGTAAATTTTCAGATGACATTATATAGAATAAAGAAACTGACTTGTTTACTACAAGCGACAGTTGATTTGACAAAGCCGCGAGTCCATTTATGCGAGTGAATATTACAGAGTGAAGTCGAGGGGTAGCTTGTTATCCGCTCATTGAAGTTAACCACGGGGCTAAGTACGTTGTGCTCTGTTGGGTGGTGAGAGAAGGGAAAGGTATAGGAGTATGATGACGAGGTGTAGGAGGAAGATAAGAGAGAGAAACTTTTGGAGCTTGAAGGCGGTCTACAGAGCCAGCCAATGACGGACTAGATCGTTGCCGGGGTAACCGCAGGGCTTTTCAACGATCATTCGACCGAGATTGAAAAGTTAGCGCGTTGAGTGGCGGGTCGAGACTTCTCTCTTGCTCCCGTAAGTTGCCTCCAGGGGTGAAGGACACAGGATTAATTTCCAACTACATTCCTGATGCTCTAGAATGATGGTTATGTTATTTTAACGCTGGTTTATCCATCTTCCCTTGCACTTCTCTGGCTATTACCCCATCTATCCTACAAAATACACGTACATCGTTCAGAGCTTGCTAATTACTTTTTATGTCAATTATTATCATTTTTTTTAATTGTGAAGTTAATAAAGTCTTTTTTTTTCTAAACGATTCAATACTAATTTTATTATCTATATTTGTATTTAAATTATTCCTTCACTTCTATATATTTTAGCCTTTTGTTTATTAAAAATACTTTATATTTGTTTTATTTGTTACGTAAAATGGTTTTTCTTTTTTAAAAAATAAATTTTTGTAATTTTTTTGTCCTTAACTTTTAAAAAAAAAATTACAAGCTGAAAACTACTTTGTGCTTTTTGACACGTGTCTAATTAATTTGCTCATGCAGCCAGTAAACCTATGTGAATTAACTTTGCACATGTAAACACAGAATAATGTACATGTGCTTTACCTTGGTAATATTTATGTATATGTAGAAGAAGAGTTAAAAAAAATTAAAGAGACTTGGATAAAAATTACATACTTTAATTTGTTCAAAGTTGTGAACATAATCAACGTACAGTCGTAGGTGAGATAATATTTACTGGAATTTTTACAGCCTCTCCTGTTCATTATTAATACATTAATTATGCAATAATTAAAATATTTGAAGAAGTTTAAGTATCACAGTTTGTCAATAATTTATACCAATAGAATTTTTCTATTTTTCTGCTTTATATTTTTAATTTCTTGGAGAGTCCTGTACTTATAAGAATATTGGAAAAGTAAATTATTAAAATATAAATTGAAAGAATGGGTCTGGGCTTAATTTGTATCCTGACGACGAACTCTCCATTAATTAAAATTCACAATTTTTTCATCTTTTGATTTTTATTGCTTAAAATAAATTGCTATAATTATAAACAATATATAATTGTTTAAAGTCTTATGAAGTTATCAACAACCATATTGTATTGACTTCAGTTGTCAGTAATGTAATCATCTAATAAATATAATTTATTCCAATACAAATGTCTTCTTTACTCAACTTATTCTATTAAAATGAAATTTGTCCGGAACATGCTTTTAAATGTCTTAAAACTTTAAGAAATGATAAAATTACGAATTTCAAAAATCGATCTCACTATAGTAACTTCTTAATAGGAAATTGAAAAACACATTTAACTATTTGCAGACTACAACTGTTACAATACATATATTTTTTATACGGTTCATCATTATTTAAATAATTATTTATATTTTGAAAGTTTCAAAATCAGAAATAATAAAATAGTTATTATGCAATGACTATAGCTTTGTTATAATAATTAAAATGTAACGCGGTTGAATACATTCATAACTTCAATATTCTTGGAAAAGGGAAGCTGGAACAATAGAAAGACACTTCATCTTTTGTTTTTACTTCTATAATACGATTGTTTTGTCTATTGTTTCTAGTAACTCTTTCGCAGGTAACGAGACTTGGCCTCAATTATAACAAGTTTGAAAATTTAAATGCCTAAAGGCTACAAAAGTTTAAGGATGCCATTAGAAGTATAGCTTTTGATTATTTTATAACAATATTTTTTTATATTTAATACTTGTATACTTCATCTGTATATTATATTATACTTTTACTTTACTACCTCTGGAAACTTTCATTTTTTTAGTTGATTTTATATACTTTACCTTTTACATTTGAGATCAAAAATACTAATATTGTTAGTGATGTTATCTTCAAAAGTACTTGCTTTGTCGGTAAAAAAAATCTTTTCATTACCATTAACTATAATATCAATGACTTTATTACATCGATAAGTAATATAGAAATCTGATTAATGAATTGTTGCAAAATGATCCATTTAAAATGATAAAAAAAAAAAACATTAAATACAAAAATAATCTAGGAATAAATTCTTAATCTCACAAAATATATTAGCCATGTAATTTTCATATCATTCAGTAAATTTAAAAATCAATTTTCAATCATTAATCACACCTCAATGATTGAATAAAAAAATATATTTCATTACTTACATTAATTAATTTGTACTTTAAACATTCATCATTCACTGTTCATCTTCAGCTTTTCGAATATCCAAGTATGGTGTAAAATCAGCATATAATGATTTATCAAAACTACTTTCTAGTACGACAACAAGAACGCTGTCATCACAACGTGCTTCAACGGCACCAGCAGCAGCATTAAGCATTTCTTTGACATTTTCTAATGAACAATCCCATATACGGAGATCACGTAAATTTAAAGATTGCCGTATAAATGATATCAAACCCTTGCTTGTTATTGATTTACATCCACTACACTTCAATCGTTCTAAATGATGAAAATTGTTCGCCAAAATATCATCATCTACTCTTGATATTTCTGATACATCTAAATTTCTTAATTCGGATAAAGTATCAATAGCTTCAAGACCTCTTTCTGTGACATTTTGACAATCTAAAAATAATTAAAAAATTATTTTAATTCATTTAAAATAATTACTAAATAAAGTTTTCTATTTTTTTTTATACTTACAACCAATATCAAGAGATTCTAATTGTCGACAATTTTTTGCTAGTTTTATTAAAAATTCATCAGTTACTCCTTTTCCTTTAATGGATAATACTTGTAATGTTGTGATATTGGGGATTCGCAATAAAGCTTCTTGTAAAGCAGGTTGATCCATTTCCAGATCAACCAAATATAATTTTATTAAGCGAGGTAATTTACTAATAAGTTCTAAGGTATATGTATTGATGTTGTATTCACGTAACTTAAGAGATTTCAGAAATCGAGCATTTGATAAAATCTAAATTTAAAAAAAAATAAAGGTTATTAATATTGTTCGTATACGTTTTTATCTTTTTTTTTTATTCAAATGAAGTATTATATATATTATATATTTAAATGAAAAAAATTACCTCATGTAAATGAGTAAGTTCTTGACCATGATTAGAGAAACATAAAACTAATTTTTCTAGGTACTGTGATGGTGAATATCGGAGACAAGCATCAACTCCTTGACCACATGCGATAAACTTGACAACTTTGATATTTTTATTCATTGCCAGGAGTTCACCAACTCCTTTAAAATGAGGTTTTTGCATTTCAAGAATATCAATATGTTCAATATTATGACAGTATTCACATATTGTAGATATAAAATGAGGATCAAAAGACTCTCCAAACTCTTCTAAAGCGAAGTGTCTAATATATTGACCACAGCGTGATAAAATAAGCTTCAAGTGATGAGATTTCAGCGTTCTTAAACTGACATAATCCTTTGTGCCTTCCACGACAGAAGATTGTGCATCACGTGGTGATGTGATAACGAGCTTCTCAACCGCCTCCCAAGACTTTCTGCTTACTTTTTGCCACTGTTTACAAACTAAAAAATCCATTAAAATAATCGTTAACAATCCATTCAAAAAAAAAAGATTAATTTTAAGTAAAATTTGTATCTCTCATAATTTATATTTAATAATTATACCTCGTTCTAAACGAATTCTATCTATTACAGGTGTATGAAGAAATATTTCTTTAAGACATTCATCGGTTAGAGTGATCCGTTGCCAAATATCTAAGTTGTTTCCGTCTAAAAAAAGTTTATTATTTCTATTATTGTACTTAAAAATAACTAATTAATACATAGTTTTATATTTACCATTTCTTTTCTTTTTCAAAGTGACATCATAACCGTTGCAATTGGACATCATTGAAACTATTCCAAATGCTTCAAAAAGTTTCTATAATTCGAAAAATTTTTTTTCAATATTTCACTTATTCTTAAAATAATAATAATAATAAATCTATCAATATATTTAGAATAATTTAAAATTTTAATTTTAATAAAAAAAAATATGGAACAATGAATAAATGTAAAAAAAGAGTAATTGTTTAAAAGATTAGATGATGACGCCATTGATAACCATCTGAGCTGACATTGACCTACACGTCAAGATATAACTCTCACATGGCACACGCTCACGCATTTTATACGGATATGAGTCGTATTGACTGATCTACTCACCCAAAAAAAATGCCGTTATCGCAAATGAAAGCTTTTCATTAAAAGAAAATACGTCTTTTGGTAACAATTTGATTTCTTCCAAGCACATAGAAAATAATATCAAGTATATGAAGTTATCACCTCGTCTTAATACATAATTATTTTTGTCTTTTCCTTTATTTGCAATTATTTGAGAGGAGAAACTTATGATCTAATGCTTAACTAAATTTTTTTCGTCGTTCCACGTGCACGGCCCAGTGATTTCTGCTGTTGAGAATTCGGCGGGTTGTCCCCCACCCCAACTAGTAATCCCTATTGAACTTGTCCCGCCTTTTACCAAATAAAACTCGTAGGACCACGTTGTTCTTTGTCTCGTGTTTTTTATCATACTTAGAGTTCATTTGTACTCCCAAATACATCCACGAATTCACAATTACCATCATAATAGCTTGTAATAAACATAAAAAAATTCATTATAAATAATATCGATTGTTTTGACATTATTTACTTGAAATTATATGAAGAAAGTAAAAAAATAATGACATACTATACGAGGACGCACGTGTTGAGCTTCGATGAACAGACGAGATTTTCGCGCAGGCGTAAATTTACTAACTAGTTCCTGCGTATTCTCCTATTATTTCTGTACAAGAGGACGAAAATGAAATAGAGCCTGTATCTTTCGTCTTTCGATACATGAAAATAAATTTCATAGAAGTTTCAAAAAACTTCTTCTGCACTTATGACTTCCTGTTTAGAAAATAAGTTAGTGCTTTGAAGCTTAAATCTAAATTAATCCTGCTACTTTATTCGATATTCGATGTCACCAAGATCGGAGTTGTATTGCAAAAATACTATCAACAACTTACACTTTTGTTTCTGTAAAATATTCAGACATAAATACATGATGAAATTGAGTTAGTTGTAATAAGCAATTACTGTTAATGAAATATTTTAAAGTAGAATAACATAAATTAATATTAATATCATCTAAATAAAATAAATAATAAAATAGTTATGAGAAAGTAGAAAGATTATCCTGTCATATGAGAAATAATAGCTTTTTCTTGAGTTTTTTTATTAGTTTTTGAATTGGAGCTTTCTCTAGTGCGAGCTTTCAAGAGTTTATAGCACCCTGGTGATGAGAATGCTTCTGGCGCCTCTTATTTGATGAGTGACGAGACATTGATGAGTCTATAGTGGGAAAAATCTCTTTTGAATGGCTTTCTCTTTCTTTTTTTTTACTGTAAATTGAAAATTATTTGTACTTTTCGGGTACCAATATATATGAAACAAAATCAAATGTGAAAAATTATTTCAACTATGTAATCCTGATTCTGCGAATATTTTTCGAGAACTAGAACTAAAAATTGATTGGAAACAGAAAAAATATCTAATAAAAAACACTCGTTGGTCCTGGAGTCCTGGTGTTGGAAATATTTCTGGAGGTAAATATTCTCTAAGAATATCTTCTTTTCAAATCTTCAACTTAAAAAAAGTCTTGAATAAAAATTATTTTACTCAAGTTTGTATATCACCTTGGTGTATGATCCATAAAATTAAAATTTTTTTTTACAGGATTTCAACTTTATTTTTCAGATCAAAATATTTTAGTACATATCTCGTAAATGAATGGAGACGACGACGATGATGTTATGGTGGGTCAGTTTCTCTCAGAAGGACGTAAGATAAAGCGATTCTTCTCAAAACGCATACTTATCGCCCTCGAACAGACCAGGCGGGTAAAGAATCCAGTAGGACGTTTTTCAGGAATTTGGTAGTTGACTTGCGCACATTGCAAAATGTTAGAGATAATTCTCTACTTTCTCAGTTCCTGATACAGCATTGTACTTGGTATATTCAAGTTTTATGAATGAATCCTATGTGAATGATGTCTTATGGTTATTCTCTTAAAAAATCTGTATCATACAAAAGTATATGAAGTATATAAATATGATGTTGTTTTAGACTACTTGAACGATGTTGTATTTTAATGATCAAGTGAACATATAAAAGAGGAAGCTAACATATCTCATGTCTTCTCTAGGAGTCTGAAGTCCTGGGAGTAGTGAAGAATTTTCCACGTGTGTTGATTCACATCATCCACAACTATGCCATGCAATAGAAATTTAAACGTGTTAGTTCAAGTAACGAAAAGTTTCCTCTTCTTCCCTTTTTTCATATATTTTCAGGAATTCAATGACCTTTAGTAACGGATACTATCATAAATTTCTACTTCCTGCTTCTATCCAGTATTTTCAGAGATTTGGCAACGACGTTTAATACGGAAAATCTAAACATTAGTATTTTCCTATTAATCAGTATTACTGGTAATACATTCTATGAAGAAATTTACGAAACTTACTTGAAGAAAGAAAAATTCATTTTATACTAATAAATTTAATCAAAAATACTTTCCCTGTTTATAATGAATGAAAAAAGTAATAACAAATAATAGTTTAATCATTGAATTCATATTTTTTGTTTTCCTGTTTGGTAAAACCTTTGAGAACTTGTTGAAATAATTGTATTTGAAAAATACGTACAATTCTGTTCGTTGGACGGTGAATGTACCAACTTTTAAGGATATAGCATCCTCTAAAATGGTCAAAATTCTGCGCAGGACGACCAAAACCCTTCAGGTATGAGCAACCTACCTATTCACATGTAGCCTTGATCCCGAAATATGCTTCACGTTTGAGGCAATTAAGGACATTAGCGTAGGTGCCACTACATATATTGTTAATTATTGCGGTCGTTTAATACTGTCAATTTCAATTACAGCTTTCAATTGCTTTTCCATTATCATTAATTCTCTATTACTTTTTTTAATGCTTTGTCTGATTTAATTGTTAGCTTAAAAATAATAATAAAGAGTAAATAATAGATTTAAAATTAAACAATATTTAACTTATTTATTAGATAGTAAAACTAATTGTCAAAAAACTAATGATTTCCTGTAAAGATTATTTTTCGTTCATGAGTCAAGTGACGTTTGTAAGCTTTAAATTGTGATGAAACAAATGAAAAGTTCAGTCATATGTATCTGTTACGTGATGTGACGTAGCGACAATGGGATATTTTATGCAATAGGAAAACAGAAGCAATGAAGAGGAAGCATTTAAACTAACCCCTTAAAAGGAACATCTTATATGAATTCTATCCATTGATAAAAATAAATTTACCAGGTTCTATTGATATTTGTTAGCAAAAAATGTAACATGAATTAAGATTTCAAATATTTTTATCCAACGCTGTATTCCATATACATTTATTTTTATAATTTCTTCATCTATTTCTTTTTACAGAATATTTTTAATTTGAATTGAAATTTTTTTTAAATGTTATTCCATTTTATTTTTAAATTATCTTCAAATAATGAACGATAATTAAAAAAAGTCGGTTAATTTTTTTTATCTAAAATTAGTAATGCAAGAATTTTTGTAAGAAGTTTAACGAAAAATTGACAGTCTGTTTTTAGAACCAGGCATTCGACCTTGGCTATCAAGTAAACCAGCTTGAATTTCTGCTAAAGAAGGTATACCATTAATGTCTCCGCGTGCAGCTACACTTGGTGGTGACTTAAGTAAACGACGTGCTACTCTTACTATGTCATTAGTTGATACTTTGTCTAAAAAAAGATAAAATATATTTATAAACAGAAAATGACAAATTTTCCTTAAATTTCTTCGTAAAAAATAATAAAAATATCAATTTATTCTTAAGAATATCTATATGATTTTAAATATTATATTTCAAATTGTATTAAATAAGAATTTTACTTTTTGCATAAATTGAAGAAATATTATTTATTTACGAATATGACATTTAATATATTTCTCTAAACGATTATGTATTAGAAGCTGATATAATTAAAAATACAAACCAATCTCATGAATAAAATATTCTGGACGTTTACGAGTTCCTGTTGCCAAAACTTGACGACCAATATCTTCAAAAACTACAGGTCTCTGTTCTAAATTCATAAGAAGCATCGACTGCAATTGTTTTTTAGCTCTCTGAAATAACAATTTTAAAAAGTTTCGAAAACTGGAATCATTACTATTCCGAAAAATAATGTCATACCGCTAATTCACTCTCACTTGTACTTTCGGCCATGGCAACAAGTTCTTTGACTATAACTTCTACCATTTCCTTTACATATGAAGGTGTTGAAGATGCATGAATACAAAAAAGACCAGTATCAATATATGCGTGATTATATGCTGTTGCACTGTATAACCAATGATACCTGAAGTAAAGATGAAAAGATCAAAAAATATAATATATGAATTTCAAATAATAGAATAATTGTTATTATTACCTATTAAGAACATTTGTGTACAAACGCGTGTACATTCCTTTACCAGGACCACCCGCACTAAAACTTCCACCACCTCCCATCATCATGTTTAAAACACACATAGCAATGAAATCTGGATCTTGATGAGAACATCCTTCAAGACCTACAACAACATGAGAGAGTTCAGGTAGACCACTTGGTCCTGCATAGACTGGAACATTACATTCTTCCTAAATACAAAAAAAATTATTTTGTCAAAATTATTTAGTAGTAACTTGAACAAAGTTTGAAATTATTTTATATAATAATTATAAATACAAAGTATTGAGCCTACTACTACTAATCCACCAGTATATTGTGCTATTGATTCATCAACCGAATTGGTTTCAACATTAGCCAACGCAAGACTGGAATCTTCATCCCAAATTAATTTTTCGTTTAGAAAGTACCTAAAAAAGTTTAAGTTGTAATTATAAAACTGAAAAATTTTGTTTATTTTTTATTTTAATGATATAAAATTATGTTACCTTTCAACAGAATTGACAAGATCTTTATGCTCAATACCCACACCAGCAACAACCATTCTTTTCGGAGTAAAATGGTTTTTTAGGTACGTAAACAAAATGTTTCGATTAATTTTTTCAACATTCTCGGGTGGACAAATTTTTGGAAGCCCCAAGGTATTATCTCTATATGCAGCCTGAAATGTATTACCTGAGATAATTTTCAATCGATTTGAATTATTCTACTTCAAAACAAACATACAGCATGTATCATATCTATAAGTATGGGTTCTTGTTCTGGTCGAGTGCTTAAAGTCTCCAATTCAAATTGGACTGTTTGTCGAGCAATATTTACTTCTTCTTCAGTGATCTTCGGCCTTAAAACAATGTCTCCAAGAATTTTTGTAACTGTATCAAGACCTTGACGTTCAGCTGATGCTGCATATATGATTGTATCTCTAGATGCTTGACAATCGCATATTCCTCCATGTTTTTCTAACGCCATCATTATATTATCTTTATTTTCATAGTTTTTTGTAGACTATATAAAAAATATTATTATAAAATTGGTTTTGTACTTATTTACATTATTTACTTACACTAAATGCCAATTTTTCAAGAAAATGTGAAATACCACTGGGATAAGCGACTTCATATCGTGGCCCAGAATCAATCAACACTATAAATAAACAATTTTTTAGTAGGAAATAATTAATGTAAGTTATATTTATATATTGGAATTGTAAACTATAAATTGACAAAATTGTTTTATTTCTATTGAGCAATTGAAACCTTTTATTATTAGATTAGTGTTAAACATGAAATATTGAAAAAAATTACCTCCAACTGTACAAAATTGTCCAAATCTATTTTCTGAAGCAATTCTTAAACCATTCGATAAAACTGTAATTTGAGTATTCTGCGTATCTTCTCTAGCATTCGAATAAATAGGTTTTGGTAAATTTGGAATTGAATCTGTCAATGGTGGAAATCCTGTCACACTTTCCAATAATTTAGGAGATTTTACTTTTGATGAAAAACAATATTTTCGTAGAATGTAAAAATCTTTTTTGTGTATGCATCTGTAACAATTATCCTAATAAAATGACAACCAAAAAATGACGGTAGAGAATTTAAATATCTTTTAATGATATAATATATCTTAAAACATGCAATTTTGTTTTCTGTTATAATTTGTTAAATATTTTAACTGGAACATGTAAAGGTTAGTTTCATAAAATATAAATTTTGAGTTATTGTTAATTACCCGTGTTTAATTGCTACTGTCAGCGATGTTTGAGGTATTCTAACCAACATTTTTAAATATTATTAGGCTATGTTCATGAATAGTTTTTATTTCAAACACTTTTTTGCAACACATAGGCTATTAAAAAGATGAAACATGTAATCCAGTGAGAAATAAAGTCAGCAGCAAAAAAAAGTACCTCAATTTCAACTTTCTTCACGTGGATTAGCAATTGTGCTTGCAAATTTGCTCCCAAATGTAATAATAAAAATGTTACGGCACTGAAAAATACTTCCAGATTGGTTTGTTCATACATACATCCATACACCTGGGTCCATTAATGCGCCTTGATTGTTATCTATTAAGCCCGGCCTATACCCTCCGAGTAATTACCGACTGCAGGAGAAATTTTTTTGTGTAGAGAGTTTCTAGTCTATCATTTTTTAAGTCTATGATGTATATCGAAAAAAACCATGAAATTATTTTTAATGACTTAAATATGATGTTTAAGGACGTGAAATTATATTATCTTTTCTTTTTTTTATTTTTCTAATTATTAAAAATTATCTTTGATGTTTGTAAAGGAAATACAAAACAATTTCAAATAAAATAATAAATTTATTTGATTTCATTAAATATAATGGATTTTATTTAAGTGCAATACTTGCCGTAAAATTATTTCAAGACTTTCTGTAATTTTTTAAATTATAAATATTTACAAAAATAGCATTTAAAGAACAAAGATCATCTTACTCGGCCTTTAAACTTGGCGCGCAATTTTGTACAATCTGTGAAACTGTTTTTGGTATAATTAAAAATAAATCTGTTTTCTTTTTTCTTAGATTTTCTTTCATTTCATGGACTAAGGACATAACGATATATCTAATTTATTTCTGTGGCTAATTAATGTAGTGTTGAAGGGTTTTCATATCATATCTTTGTTTATTATAGAAGAAATTACGAATTTTAAAAAGTATAACCTTAAAGATGCTGATTTGGTACCGCCATTCATACTTGGCGCTCGAGAATAAACGTGTCTCTTGATTCTCAAAAATATTTTAGTATTACTTTTAATAATTTATTGTATGTAAATTTGCACATAATACTATTTCACTAAAATGGCTGCATTACTAAAAAAACGAGCTTTAGCAGAATATTCACAGACTCAGGTAATTATTTTATAATAATATTTTAACGTTTTTTTATATCATTTATAAACCAATATTCTTTCGTCAGACTGTTGGAGAACCTCCGATAAAAAGACTTAGAACACTTCGATTAACTTCTGGGGGAAGTGCCAGCAGTATTGGAACTACGAAAAATGGATCTGAAGGCAATTCAACACTTGCATATCTTGAATGCTTGGAAAAATCTAAAGGAGGAAATGATGCTCTCCAATATCTTGTACGAATTTCTGACATTTTATGTCGTGTGACTCCAGATGATGTTCCTATAGCTGTTACGAAATTAATTGAAAAATTTGGAGTAGAATCTGAAGCTGCTGTAAGAGCAAAAATTCTTTGGGTTTTAGCAGAATTGGGAGAAGTAACACCTCACTCATCTGAAAAAGTGCGAATTATCGATGAAACAGCACGACTTTTGAGAACTGAGGAATCTCATAGAGTTAAAAGTCAAGGATTATCAACTTTATTGAAATTAGGGGATTATAACCGAGTTACAGTATTGAAAATTGCTCGAGAACATCTTTCTGATACTTGGCATGGTGTCCAAACGCGATGTTTATCAATAATTGGTCGATATTTATCATCAAACTCTACTAATGATACCCTTATTCTTGTTAGTAATTATGCAAGATCTCAGGATCCACGTGTTCGTGCTGCAGCTTTTGAAACAATGGCTGAACTTCATACAGAGCGTGGATGCCGTCTTACTTTAAATTTTTTTTCAGAAGCTTGTGCTGCCCTACGAGATGATTATGAAATTGTACGGCGAGCTGTTTTGAAGCTTATTTGGATGCTAGGTATGGAGTATCCAGATAACATTGTTGTAGGAACTGATGGAGAAGATATTCGTATGATAGATAGTGCATTTTCAAAACTTTGTGAATTAGTTGGGGACTTATCTCCACGTGTTCGTGCGTCAGCAATGAGCCTGATGGGTTCAATGACAAGTGTATCGAGTAGATATATTGAACAAGCCTTAGATAAAAAACAGATTACTGTTGAAGATGAAAGTTCTGAAATACAAGAACGAAGTGCATCTTGTGGTGCTTTTATCCATGGATTAGAAGACGAATTTTTGGAAGTACGAACAGCTGCTGTGGAATCATTATGTAGATTGTCTTTAGAACGACCAAGTATTGCACGAATATCTTTAGATTTCATGGTAGATATGTTTAATGATGAAATTCAAGATGTAAGAATAAAAGCGATAGAATCATTAAGAAAAATGTCAGCTAGTGTGATACTTCAAGAAGATCAACTTGAGACAATTTTATGTGCCCTTGAAGATTTTTCAGATGAAGTTAGAGAAGGATTACATTCAACTTTAGCGGCTAGTCGTCTTGCTACCATGAATTGCCTTCACATGTGCGTTAATAAGCTTATTGATAATTTAACAAAATATCCTCAAGATAAAGACAGCATTAGAAGTTGCTTAGCTGCCTTAGGAGCTTCTCATCCATATCTTACATTGCCTCTAGTACCTCAACTTTTAGGAAGACATCCTTTCTTCGATACTCCCGAACCCGATGTTGATGATCCTTCCTATGCTAGTGTTTTAGTTTTAATATTTAATGCAGCTTTGCATTGTCCAAGTATGCATGCATTATTTTCTGAGCATGCCGCTAAACATTATCACTATTTAAGAGATACTATGCCACACTTAGTACCAAGACTACGACCGGCATTGGCTAAAGCACCAGGAATTGGAGTTGACGAAACAGATGAAAAAAGTAGAGATCGAAGAGGACGAGAGTTTTTAGAAAGAATGGTAGCTGGCGTAGAAAATGCTAGACCTGGAGGAAGAGTTTATATTCAACTTTTAGAAGCCGCTGCAGTTGATCTTGATAGATTGGCAGAAATGGATAAAAAAATGGAAGGGGCAGCTCTTTTTACTGCACTTTACGTTCGTTGTTTAATTTTACTTCGTTCAGCTATTAAAGAAATTAATGAATCACAACCTGACGCGATGTCGAATAGTTTGATACCTTCTTCGGGTAGCAATATTTCTTTGTTATTGAAAAATGCACAACAGTAAGTATATTGCAGTAAATGCATACATTAAGAAATGAAACGTTTTTGATCATTTTTTTCTCATATTTCAGATTACAACACAGATTTCTCAATGTTAAAGAATCCGAAATAACACTTGCAGTTGATGTATGGCTAAAGGCTTTAGCTGTAGAGCTCATTAAAGTGACTAAAAGTGCAACAGGAAGCGCACTACCTCTAGCTCGACAGTTCTTATCAGAAACTGATGCTCTTCTTCAAGATAATTCGAAATTGCCCCCGTTTTCTCATGCTCTTTTTTTACAAATTCCATCTTTGGGAGAAGCAAAACCTGGATCATTGTCACGAATACTCTTACCTCTTTTAACGAACCCTCCTGCACAAGGTGAAGAAAGACTTCCAAGACCATCAGCTTCTACAAAAATTTGCCGAGCAATTATTGAAGAACCTCGAGGAGATGCTGATGCAGCTTTGAAATTTACTGGAGGTCTTATTTTAGGTATACCATTGACTGCAAAAATTTTGAATCTTCGTGACCCTGGAACCATTAGAATTAAGCTAAGACATCCAGATCAACAAGTTCAGTTGTTGTTACCAAAAAAAGCAGACTTGAAACCACAAAATTTAGACAGCAATGATTACCGGTTGAAAACAACAGTCTTATTATCACATCAAGTTTGGATGGAAGCATGCAATGTTGAAATATCTATTGCACTTCTAGTACCTTCAGTCAATTCATGTACACATTTACTTAATGATGATCCGTGTGTTCTTGAACTATGTAAACCGACTAAAGTAACTATTGCACCTAAACCTGTTAAGAGGACAATATGAGACGATTTATATATGTTTTTATGAAAATAATTAATGAACTTATATTTGTTTATAAAATAAAAAAATATCAAAAACTTTTTTTTCATTGTATGTTTATAGAGCAGTAAGTTTCATTATTGTTAAAATAGTTAAAATTACATTTTTAGGGTGATTATTAAGATTAAAAAATGACATAAATAAATATAGAAGTTTTAATTTTTTTATGAAAAAAATATATATTTAATGAAATATTTGTCAATATTAACATAATCCGGAACCTTAATCATTATATTTTTAAAAAATAATATCACTATACTAGATATGACTAAAAAAACTAAAATAATTAATCTGTTGATCATGATCGCCAGGCTGTAAATGAATGTCCACCAGAGAAAGAAGGTTTTTCAGCAGTTGGACTTTTTTGTGCTAAACTTCCAAATGTCAGACCAGTATCTTGTCTTGCTAATGACTCGAAAGTATTACTGCCAGTTACATTACCAAATACTTTATCAGTTGGAGTATTACTAAGAGGAGGACTCGATGTTCCGAAACCCATAGTTCCAAAACTAGAACCAAATGTTGTACCAAATTCTGGTTTAGATCCTCCAAATACTGGTTGAGAGCCAAACACTGGTTTAGAGCCGAAAGTTGATGGTGTTCCAAACGCAGCAGTGTTAGCCATTGGTGGTGTTCCAAAACTCGGAGCTCCTCCAAATATGATTCCTGTAGGTTTGGGGGATCCACCGAACATAGATCCCATGGAAGATGAACCAAAACTTGGTGGAGAAGTCGGTATTCCACCAAAAATAGAAGTTACTTTAGGACTTGTGGTGCTTCCACCAAAAATATTTTGTGTTGGACAAGTTTGAATAGCACTGAAAGGCGAAGCATTCGGAGTAGTTTCAGGATTTGCGAGAAAAGGCTTAACAGGACTTGCAGCATTCATGGGTGATTTTGTCGATTGTCCAAATGGTGATGAAGACATAAGAGCTGGCATTGAAGAAGTTGTTGAAGTTCCTGACACTGCTGGTTTACCAAAAATATTCGAAGGTGTGGCACATGTTGAAGGAGGTTTTCCAAAATTGATTGATTGACAAATAACATTTGATTGCATAATTGATGTATTAGATGGCTGTGAAAATCCATTTGAAGCGTTACCAAATAATGCTGGTGCTGATGTTGTTACGACAGATTTATCAGAAACATTGGTAGAAGTTAGAGGGTTAGTATTAGTAAATATTGATGCTGATGTTGATAAATTCGTAGTATTACCACCAAAAATATTGCTACCTGTTCCCATTCCGAACATTTTTGATGGTGATGAAACTGGTGTGGTGGTGTTTGCAGGTGATAATAGTTTTTCTATAGTAGTTCCACTCGGTAGATTGATAAAAGTATTAGCTTCTCCTGGAGGCGATGCAATTGGTGTAACAGACATTACTTTTCCAAAGTTTATAGTAGTTGCTGTTGATGATGTCAATGTCGGCGTAATTAAAATAGGTGCAGCAGAACCTAACTGGGATTTGTTAGTTAAACTTTGGGTAGACAAACCCATCATCATTTTAGAAAAATCTGAAGCAGGAAGTTTAGTTGTAGAACCAGTAGCAGCAACAACAGGAGTAGTCACAGTGGTATTAATAGTAGTAATTGTTTGAAGTGGCAATGATTCCGTTTTAGCTAAATTTGAAATTGTAGTATCTCCAGGTTTTACGGAAAGGAAAAAAGTTTGATTATTAACAACAGGAACAGCAGCAGTAGCGGTAGTGGTCGGAGATTTTCCAATGTTCTGATTAAATGATAAATTCTTGTTAAGATTAGAAACATTTTGCTGTGTACTAGCTACAGTTGAATGAGAATCATTAAGTGACAAATTGAAACTGGTTCCAGAATTTTGAGGCGCATTTGTTTGAGTTCCTCGAGCTTGTTCAACTTTAACAGTTGTAGCTCCATTCAACAAACCATTTTCAAGAGAATTCGTTTGAAATAATGAAACAGATTGTGCTGAAGTACATTGTTCTGTTGATTTGAACGTAAATGGAACTTTTGGAGTATTTTCTTTGCATATGACAGGCACAATACTTTCTTGTTTTTGCTCCAAAGACCCAGAAAAGAAAGGTTTAAGATTAATTGGTGTAATTGATGGAATTTGTGTAGATGCAGCGGTTGGTTGTATTAAAAGAGATTTTATTGTATGTGGAGATGTTGTTATGACTGATTTTTCGTTAAGTTTAACAGATGTTTGATTTCCAAAATTAAGAGAAAAGGCGCTTGTTGAAAAAGTTAATGGTTGTGTTTTTTGTTGGGTTACTGTTAGAGGTTCATTTCCTAATTTTGCTACAATACTGTTTAAAGATGCTAAAGGATTTTGAGATGTAGTAGTAGTTTTTATTATAGATGTAGCAGGTGAAGTAGTAATGGTAGTAGTAGTTATTCCAGTAGTAACAATTGTAGTAGTTCCAACACTGACGGGAATAATATTAGATACAAAAGTTGCACTTTTTGTTGATGGAACATTGACTTTTGGTAATTCACCACTAAGTTTATTAGTTACAATTTTTTCTTTCACTTTTGGCGTAATTGTAGTTTTATTTTGTGATGTTAAAGAGGTAAGAGTAGCTTTTAGTTTATCTTGCACTGGAGAAGGATTTATTGCTTTAATAATTTTCGGCTCAGTTTTTAGTAAAAGATCTCTTAATCTCATTTGTTTTTCTCGAGTAAAATTTTTAGTATTATTAGCAATAGCTCTACAACGCATTTCAATTACACCACCATCACCATTAATTCCAGAAGATCCTGGAATATTAGAACTTATATTCAACTTGGCAATAGATCGATTTAAACTAGATATTTTATTTCCTCGAGATAAAGTTTTCCATTTTTTCGATAAGTTGTCAAGAGCTTCTTTTTCTTTCGCAATAATTTCAGCATGTTTTTTAAGATTTTGATAAATGAACTCTAAACTTGGAATTTTCATTCTTGCTCTGTCTTGAGATTCTTGCTCTACCCAATGAATGTCTAGAGCTTTTATAGCTTGAAGTAATTGAGATTGAACGTGAGAAAATTTTTTCTGCAATTCTTCAATTTTACTTCGATCGTGACAATTTTTTGGAACGTCACAAACATTCGCTGAATTCCTAGATTTAATTTCTTCAACCCAAGCAAAAGTTTGTAAATATAAAGCTTTTAAATAAGACACATCACTTGCTAAACTATTAGTTGTTTCCATCAAATCATGTCCAAATTCATTCATTTGAGCACATTGAGTTATCAATTTTTGTTTTTCTTCTTCTGCTCCTATATCCCAAGTTTGTGGCTCTAGTTTACTCTGTAATTCCTTTTCAAAATGAGTTATTTCTTCACAAAAATTTCGCCAAAAGATGCTATCATAATTGATTTTATCTACAATTGCAGCAGCTGGATCTGTTTGTAATTCTTTCACGGGTGAGATTCCAATTCCAGGTTTTGATGAATGAATTTCGACAGATTGTTCTGACCGGGATCTAGGAATCTTCAATTCAACTTGAGGTTGGACAGAAACTTGTAATGTTAACACTGATTGAGGAGTAGTAGTAGGTTTTTGAGGTTCAGTAAATGAATTTGGAGTTGGAATTACAGCTTTTGGCCTTTCAATAGATGATTCTATTTGTTTTGGACGAGGAGTACTTGTCACTCCTGTATTAAGAATGAAAGAAATTTCTGAAGGTAACATACTCGTTCGTTGAGGTAGAACAAATTGTTCACTTGGAGGTGAGCAAAGTGACGGACAATTAGGAAATAAATTGACCATATGGAAACTTATAATTTGTCCTGAAGTACCATAGATATAAAGGATAGGAACTGGATGTGGTAATGTACTTTCTGGCCCCCAAGGTAATATGATTGTTGATGACTTATCAATAGCCATACCAACTGGATAAGACTCAGAAGTTTGCACTAATGGGAGCTGGGCTCTTCCATTGTCATTTAATTGCCATTGTTCCCAATGAGCTCCGTTATCAAGAGATCCAAGAACTGCGATTTCACCACTACTACTACTAGCAGCTATAATTAAATTCCATTCTGGCACGTGATCAAAGTAATATCGAGGTAAATATTCTGCATCAACATCTGGCATTCCATAAGTAATATCTTCGTAACATGTAAAAATTGTTTTAGTATCGCCTTTAGGTGCGTCGATAATTAAAACATTGATTCGACGTTCATTAACATCCAAGTATGCAGCACAAAATTGGTAATTACTAATCCATAATATAGATGTAACTCCACCAATAGGCGGAGAAGGCCCAGTAATTGTTCTTGCAATTTTTAATTCAGGTTTTAATTGAATAATGTTTCCATTTTTGCATCCAATAACTAATTGTTTGCCTTTAGGACTCCAAGCAACACATTCAGCTTCTAATCCTTGAATATTTTCTAATGCTATGACATTTATTGTTGTTTTTTGATCTGGTTTAATTTGAAAAGTACCAATTGAATGATCACTAACAACAGTACAAAACATTTCTGGAATCGCAGGATTCCATCGTAGATCATAAGCAAAAACGTTTTGACTTACATTTGAAATAACAACTGTATTAATAAGTTCTAATTGATTTTTTGATATTGAACTAGCTTTATAAATATGAGCCGTTGGTGAATTAAATGTTATTCCTACATAAGAACAATCACAGCTTATAGATAGTCGAGATATAACTGATGGAAGATTATGGTCGAGTCTCCAATCATTAGAAAGATTAGATTTAAATACCGTTAATTTATTTTCATAAGCAGTATATATTAATCCTCTTTTTGAATCCGCCAAAATTAGATTACAAGAAATTGGTATATTTTTAAAATTCTCATAAGCTTGAATTAATTGGTCTTGTTTGAACTGAAATTCCTGTAACAAAAAGAATAAGTACTTCCATATTCAGTAGAGGTTATGTAAAATACTATTAAAGATATTATTATAAAATTAACGTTAGTTGCAATGGCTTGCTCAATTAGAAAAATTAGTAAATAATAAATATAACATAAATAATTTAATGGAACCGGTTCGAATAATATATAACTTTATTTATAATCAAACAATTATTAATATTTTTGATATAATCAGTAATAATATAAAATTGATAATACAAAAGATTGGTTTTTTACCTGAACATCTTTAGGATTCGGTGCAGGCTTCATTATAAAAATATTGAACACTTTTTATTTGAGCAATATTTAATAATTAACCTTGAATAATTTTGAAAAATGTCAAAAACACAATTCTTCAACGTTTACGGTTGTAATTTTAGAGCATCAAAAAGAGAATCTCGAACTCGAAAACATTATTGCCAACTTACAAAAATAATGATGTAAACAGTGATTTATTTTTGTAGTTGTGGTTCGTTGTAAACGAAATGAACAAATAATGATTCAACTGATGCTTGTCCGTTATATCAATGCATCTGCTCCAGTGAGTTTTATATTATCTGTCAAACAACGTCTTTGTATAAGCACGAACAGGAAACTGTATAGAAATACATTCTAAACAAGATAAAAAGAGTCATTGAGAACAATAATTTGTAAATTTCTGATCAGTTAATGAAGGAAGTTTTAATCAAAAATTTTTAATTCTTTTATTTTTGACACAGCTTCTTTCGGAGTGAGATTAAAGATTTTTAATATTTTTTCATATAAAAGAAAAAGCAGTGTACATCAAATACCAGTGCCAGTGACAAATGTGTTGATCTGGACGTCATGTTAAACGCGTACATTTTTTTAACAGCGATAATGAACAGCGATATCACATCCAATAAATATGGCGATCTTGTAATTTTAACGTGAACCAGAAAGGAGTGACGAAATCTGACGACGACGAACAAAAGGAAAGAAGATATTGAAAAATAAAATAAAACAAGATTAAAAGAAAAGAAATCTCATTCCTTTTTTATCTTCAGTTTAACTCATTGTTTTATATATTTATATTAATTCATTGAGTTCATCTCTTCTGGATTTAAATCTAAGATACTTGAGACTGAGATTTATTGTAGGACCAAAGAAGAAGATAATTCTCAATAGAAATGGCCCGAGAGTACGACCATTTGTTTAAGCTGCTTATCATTGGAGATAGTGGTAATTAATAATGATCTATAGTGCATTTAAATAAATATATTTTTCCTTTATTTCTAAATTATGCACGCTATCAAATAAATTTAACCTTCTTGCATCATGCCGGCTCTGAGTATATGAAGAAAAATGAAGTATCATCAAATAATTGTCTTCCGCATTATGAAGAGTCATAATAGATAAAAGGGGTTGTTTGTTATGACAAGTCCTTGATACAATTCTATAATATATCTGAATGAAAAGCGGGATAGATGAACTTTATTTATTGTTCAGAGGCTCTCAACTTAACATCATTTAATCTGTCAACAGTAAAATTGTTTTTTGTAAGCTAGTAATTGATTAATTAATCTTTCATTTTCTTGATAATTCCAGGAGTTGGTAAAAGCTCATTACTTCTTAGATTTGCGGACAACACATTTAATGGCAGTTATATCACAACAATAGGAGTTGATTTTAAAATAAGAACTGTAGTTGTTGATGGAGAACGTGTAAAATTACAAATTTGGGATACCGCAGGACAAGAAAGATTCCGAACGATAACATCAACGTATTACAGAGGAACACATGGAGTTATTGTTGTTTATGATGTTACTAGTGGCGACTCTTTTGCGAATGTCAAAAGATGGCTCCATGAAATAGAGCACAACTGCGATATCGTTAACAGGGTTTTAGTTGGCAATAAAAATGATGCTCCTAATCATAAAGTAGTACTAACTGAAGACGCTCAGAGATTTGCGAATCAAATGGGTATTCAACTATTTGAAACTTCAGCAAAAGATAATATTAATGTTGAGGAGGTAAATATTCTAATTAAATTTTGGTTTATATTTTAAAATATAGTAATAATGGTGCAGAAAAATTATTCTATAATATTATTATGGGTAAAATGATATAAAATGAATCAAATTAGATAGTGGCAGCATGGGGACAACAGCATCCCGAGCCATCACAACTTAAAATCATAATGAATCAAACTGAAGCAGAAAATATATAATTCAAAATAAAACCAGCTACTATTTGCAAAAAAATAGTACGAATGTAAATTTATCTTAAAATTAAAACACATTTGAAATTTTGTTTCTATATTATACAGATTTATATTAAAAAATATGGAAATAAAAAATTTTTATTCAAATATTTGATTCTTAAAATATTTTTTACAGATGTTTATGGCGATAACGCGTCAAGTTCTGCACACAAAAAAGGAAAGAAAAGAACGTCAGGCAATACAGACAAATGAAACAGTGAATTTAAGAAAAAGTACCAAACAACATAGGAAAAAATGTTGTTAGCAAATTAAAGTGTGAATTTCTTCGAGATTTTTATATTTATTCAAAAATTTTTAATAACAGGGACCGTATACTGAAAAAAGTAATAAAACGGATAAATTTTACGAAGAAGTGATCGATATGATTGTAAATGAATGAAATGTTTACAAGTGTCATAGATTTTTTGTGCTGATTGGCTTCGATGTGTTGTGGCATTCTTTTAAAAAGAATTAACGTATTATTTCTTGTAACGGTTTATGTTAAAATATGAATTCACATACAACGTGAATTGATAATGAAAAGAAAAAAAAACGGTTGATGAATTTTCTCATCAAATTAATCATAAACAAAAATCATAGAATTCTGAACGATAATTTAATAACTCAAAGAAAATTTATAACTGTCGAGCTATACACGTATACATTTCGAAATATTATTTAATAAGACATTTAGTTGCTATTTGTAAAGTGTTATAAGAAAATGTTTGAGTGCTGTAATAAAAAAAATTAAATCGGTATGAGAAAAATTCGTTACATAAATCTTATATGTACTATTAACTAAGTAATCATTACTGTAAATATGTACATCCATTTTTAAACATTTTACAAATAGTATAATCTCTATGGCCCCACTAAATTTTTAGTTAAACTTCTGGCAAAGTGGCGGAGACTAAAAGTCTGTGATAACTTTTTCAATAACTCATGAAAATAATAATCGCCATATTTTAATTATTTCTGCGATTTAACATATCAATTGCTCAGACGTTAACAATGTTTGAAAAATTCAAAGTAAACCAATAAAGAAAGTATTTGTAGTCATATCGTTGCATGTACCTGAAGCAACGACACAAATAATAACAACGAGTATTAGGTATACAATTATATATAATTTCTATCATAATAAACAGGATTTTATGTTTCTATTGTCTCATTGTTGATTTTAATACCTATAAACTTACTCTTACCTAATTGCTATAAAACGCAAGAATTTAAATTCACATTTTTCATTTATTTTAATTTTTTCATTCCTAATATTTGAAAAATTAAGAATTGTTGAACAAATCAATGAACAATATTTACAGATAACTACATATATTTTTCATTGTTTTGAATGAACGGTGACAGTGGTGAAAACGAATACGAGGCAGCCGAATGTAAGAATAGAACCATGAGCAACAACTGCACTTCCTTCCCATCCGGCTTGAGTATAAGTTTGATTAGATTCTTTCGGATCAACCATTGAACATTTACATGAAATTCGATTACCATTAGGAATTGATTTTAAACTATCTAATCGTTTGTCTGATAACTTTTCATACGGTCTCCAATGATCGGGTAACATTTCTTCTTTATCTTTACTTTTTCTTGATGAAAAACTCGTACAATCACAAGAATAAAATACATTGTCAACTGTTGTACCATGTTCACTATAATTTAGTAATTCATATCGCTTTGTAGAATCATCAAAAAAGATTACAGCGTGTTTTGATGATGTACACTCACAATTACCATATTTTGACAAATGTACATCACAATTAGCGCCAGTTCCTATTGTTAAAGTTCTTTTTATCATTAAAGCTGGTGGTCCGGGTTTTCTGCTAAGCGGAAATAAAGCTGCTCGTGCTTCATTTTGATTATTTAAACATCTATATTCTTCACTATCTGGATTCAAAATTTGTTCTAATCTTTGTTGAGCTAACGCTTCTAACACTGGACGTTCTAAAAGTTGTATTCCTTCCTTTATTTCATATCCTAAATTCCACGATTGTATTTTAAAAGTTTCTTCTTTGATTTTGTCATTCAATGTAGCATTTGGAGATCTTTCTTCACTTTCTTTTACTTCTTCATTCACCCCATCATTAATTTCCATTTTTTCACTCGAACCATCTTGACCTTCTTTGTGTTTTAAATTATTTGATTGATTTGTTGATTTTTCAACTGAGCAATCATTGAATGGTAATTCTTCATGACCATTAAATTCCTTCTCTTCTTTTGTACTATTTATAGTTTGAGCGTATGGACGAATGAATGCGTTCATTCGATAAGTGTTGATAGAGTTTAATTCAGGTGGATTTGCATAGTAATACTTAATCATAGCTGGAACTTTAACTTTAATTCTTTCATTACTAGCTAATTTAACTCTAAAAGGTGGATTGATAGCATGTGCTTTTCTTAAAAATTCTAACTTAACAGCATGTTGGTCAACTCTTCGAGTAGCAAATTGATCCCAAAGTTTTAATCTAGCCGTAGCATTACAAGATTGAAGAAGGTTTTGATCAATAAAATGATTTGGATGATTTGGACACATCCAACGACCACTAGGAAAAGCCGTAAGTGGTGGATCTAAACAGTCTTGATGAAAATATAAAGGGCAATAATCACATGCAATTAATGGAGCCTTTTTACAACTTTTACTACATTCAAAACACAACCTTGCTGGCAGTGGAACCATTAAATTAGAGTCTAAACAATGACTTTTTCCATTATTGTGAGAAGATCCTGGTTGTCTTCCTCTTTTCCCAGGTACTATATCGACTTTATCAGTCCCTGGGAATGTTAATGGCAGTCTTAACTCTCTAGGTAATTCAAATTCTCGAGGATTAACTAAAGATGCAGCTAAAGCTAGTACTTCTAAAGCGGATTTCTTTTTTCTTTTTTTTGAGTTAAGTTTTTCTTTTGCATCTCTTTTTGAACACCTGCATGCGTGGCAGATCCACTCGCCATTTGGGATGTCTGAGATGTCTAGCGGTGGATCACTGAAAAATTTCAATGATTCTAATGAATAACTTGAACAGGAATAGGTAGTGAATTTTTCACAAAATTAATAATATCCAAAATACTGAACATACTGGCATTGTAAGTGGAATGAAGCAGGACATTTATCACAACATATTAATTCTCCACCATCACTACAGGCATCACACGAATCTCTATTGTGACCTCTACCAGGTCGTTTGAAGTATGGATGTCTCTTTTCATCTTTATCTCTCTTATTTTTACCTGTTTTTGAATCTTCAGACACTGGAGGTGCTATTAAAGTTTGTATTTGCTAAAATAGAATAACAAATTGATTAATTAGTCAAGAGTTAACTAATAAAAATCAGTGTCTCCTTAAAAATGTATCTAATTTTAAAAAAAATACATGAAATTATTTTACTCACAGGCATAAGACCACCATTTGGTGACAAACCGTAATCAACAGTACCCATTTTATATAAAATTAGAAAGAATTAATGTTTGCCTCAATTTAAACTTGTGATCAAATTGATTGTGATATACTAACTCAAATAAAACTTAACAATGTTCACAGAAATCTCTTATGTATACTAAAAAACCTCTATTATAGAAGACGTTTTTTTATAGAACCTTCTATCCCTTCTTCATCTTCTGATGATAATATTTAATTTAATCAAACAGTTTGCTTCATATATAGATGGAGACTGAAGAGAGAAGCGAATTCCAAGTTTGTCCAGAATTTTTCATAACCTTTTTTTCAATCAAAATAATCATTGTAGCCGTCGTATTTACTATTAAAAATTTTTTATTGTTACATATTACTGTTTTAAATTATAAATTACTAAAATGAGATATGGACAACTAGTTATGGGCCCAGCTGGTAGTGGCAAGGTAAAGTTTACATCATTATTCAATTAAATTTTGATGTTTTTGAGGGTTATTTTGATAGTTTTTGTATTGAATTTTTCAGTCTACTTACTGCTCTATCATTCAAAAACATGCTGCAGATCAAAATAAAGTAATTAATGTAGTTAACTTAGACCCTGCTGCAGAATATTTTGATTATAATCTTCTTGTCGATATTAGAGAATTGATTCAATTAGACGACGCTATGGAAGAATTGAAATTTGGTCCCAATGGCGGTCTTGTTTTTTGTATGGAGTAAGTTTATAAAATTTTTAATAATTGTTTATTTATAAAGTGGAACATTGTTTGTTAAAAAAATTAAGTCATTAAAAAATTATTCCTTAAAATTAACAGATATTTGCTTGAAAATTCATCATGGCTCGAAGAACAATTAGGGGATATTGATGATGATTACATTATCTTCGATTGTCCTGGTCAAATAGAACTTTATACTCACATGACAGTTATAAGACAGTTGATAAAAATGTTAGAAAATATGAATTTCAGACTTTGTGGTATATTTTTGGTTGACAGTCAATTTATGGTCGATGCATCCAAATTTTTATCAGGAACTATGGCAGCATTGAGTGTTATGATTAATTTAGAATTACCTCATATAAATATTCTGAGCAAAATAGATTCGTTGTCGAAATCTGCTAGAAAACAGTTGGACAAATATATTGAACCTGATTCAGAACTTTTATTAGCTGACTTACAAAATGATCCTTGGAATGAGAAGTACAGAAATTTAACAGAAGCTTTAGGAAGACTTATTGAAAGCTATAGTCTTGTAAGATTTTACCCTTTAAACATCAAAGATGAAGAAAGTATAACCAACATTAAAGTAATTATTGATAATACAATTCAGTTTGGTGAGGAGGAAGATGTGAAAACGCGAGATTTTGATGAGCTAGAGCGAGATGATTAATTTTATTTAATAAAAAAATTATTGTGAAATGTGTATTTTTAATTTTAATGTAATTAAAATTGTACGATTTAATATAAATTTTTAACTCAAATCTTATTTCTTTATGTAATAGTTATTTTATGTCGTTTTTGGATGGAATTCGTTCATTTTTTTTTGTTGATATTTTTCTAAAAAATTTTTAAAAGATAAATCTTCTTGTAATTCATCATCTTTTAAATTTTTAGCTTCTTCACCTTCTTCATCTTCACTTGATTCTTCTCCAGGGGTTTTAATATAAACATCCGCAATTTCTTTACCAATTGGAGTTTTTGTAACCATCGAAGATTCTCCTTGACTTTTTAAAGCAGCTTCAGCTAACTGAATTTTTTCTTTTTCTTGTTTTACTTTCAACTTTATCCATTCTTTTTTGTAAATGCTAAAAAGTGAAATTATTTTTGATAAATCTAATTTTAAAAGTAATAATAATAAAACATAAAGATAAAATTAGTTACATTTCATATTCTTCGTGTGCTTCTTGAACAAGATCGAAAAATTCTGATATTCCAGCTCCAGTTCTTGCTGACACTCCACAACTTTTTAATTGACTATAAAATGTATCTAATGTTAAAGACATACTCCTTGTTAAATTACTAATATAACTAGTTTCGGATTCTAAAGCATCTTGAAAAGCTTCAAAATCTTGCATCCATTCCACTGCATAACTGTGTTCAACAATATCAATCTAAAATATTTAACAATGATAATTATTCTATTTTATTAATTATAAATACATCGATAATAAACCTTTTTTACCTTATTCATCACTACAATAAATGGTAATTTAGTTTTGTACAGAATCGAACATGCATAAAGCATATTCGACATAAATGTAACAGGATTTACACTTCTAACAGTATCCATTATGTAAACGACAACTGTAGGAAATTGTGAAGCTAATGCTTCTGTGATTATTGTCCCACTTGCAGACCATGTAAAAACTTCAATCTGACCAGGTGTATCAAGAATAACATAATCATATTCTTCTCCGGCCTTTTCAATAAGTTCAATAACTTTGTTAAATTTTGTAGAAAATAAATTTAGTGTTGTCACTATTGCTCCATTTGGTCCCAAGGCGTATTGTTTCATTACTTCTTTGTAATTGACGGTGTCCCTGATATCTGAAAGTTTTTTTGTATCAACACGAGTAATATCAGAAGCATAAAATAGAATAAAAGTATTTTTAATTCCAAAATATCAATTTTTTCTTTAATATATAAAAATTTACCAATATTCGCAATATATGGTACTTCTCTACAAGCAGGATCTAAATTTATTACATAAGGTTTGTTAACTTCATAAAGTTTTGCCACAGTTTTCTGAACAAATGTTGTTTTTCCAGAGCCTGCCATTCCAAGAACAATAATACAAACCGGCTTTTTTTTCAACTTTGTCCCACCTTCTTTTGAATGTTCTTCAGTGAAATGTTCAGCATCGTAAGCTTTTGTTTCCATAATTTTAAAATTATTTTTTCAAACTTAGTAAAAAAATTGTCTAAAACTACAGCGTGTTGTTTATTGAAGTTGATATGAATCTTAACCTATATATATATATCAGACGATCTTTAACATGACAGATGCACAACTAATAAAATAATCATAAATTCTGTGATAGTTTCTTATCTATATAAAAATAAATTAGTTTATATTTTTTCATTTATCTGAAATTTCTATTTATTGGTTGCCTAATTATTTTAATATTTATTTCTTATTTTTTATTGACATAACTTTAAATTATGAATGATTTGATGATGTACACTTGGCGTCATTAATGCCTAGTCCATCAAAAACTTTGATACCATCCGAGCAATTATCGATGGAGTAGTTTTTTTTTCAAATAGAGATTCAACATCTAAATTAATTTAGAAAGTTCATGATTAAATACTTTTTTAGATAGTCCCTACAACAATGGACTATCCCCACTAAAACATTTTTGAACCTTAATTTAAATAATAACAAGAAAATTTAAATAATGATACTGATAATTTAATTATAAACTTAAGTTTATAATTACTATAATTAAACTAACATTAATAGTCACGATTATTTCATGATGACTGAAGAAGTAATCCCAAATTTAAAAAATTTTTTTTTTACTTAATTTTAATAACAACAATGAACAACCTATAAATATATATACTATATTTTTAAATTCTGGTATTACTGAGTACAATAGGAACTAGTTATTAGAACTTTTTCTAAGTTCTTGATCCCCCAAATGTGAGGAAAATCGGGTTCAGATTAAGTAATCGTTTTTATCGCCACTCAATTGTAGAGAATTAAATTCTCTGTTGAATAAATTATATTTTTTTTGCAATTTTTTTTTTATTTTCTTAAATTGTTTATAACAAAAAAAAACAAAATTCAATTAATTAATGAGAACAAAAAGAATTCAATCCTCTGCTAATGAGTGCCCAGTAAACACTGTTATATTGTAGTTATATATCCTTGACATAGTTTTTATTACATATTTTATTACAGTTATGTACCGGTACATAACTGTAATAATATGTAATAAAATATGTAATAAAAACTATGGCCATATAAGTAACATAGATGTTACTATTTCCGTCTTAATTATATAACATTGTTTTATAACTTTGTTGTATTACAGTAATATTATGGTTACATAACATTTTTATCAACATTGATATTGTTTAAATTGAAAAAAAAATTGTCAGTAATGTATTTTTATTGGATTTCATTGCTTTTGTTTACTATTCTATTATTAACTTCCCAGTGGGAAGTTATAGTAATGGGTCCAATTTTGCGAATCGCTAATTTTGACATATCTCCACGTTTTAAGGTCCCGTGAATCCAATACGACCGTTTTCCAGTGGACGTCTGTGTGTGCGTATGTACGTATGTGGGTATGTGCGTATGTGCATATGTGCGTACGTACGTTCGGAATTATTTTTCGCCTCGATTATCTCGAGAACAAAAAATGATATCGATGTAGGACCAATTGCATTCGACGCGTAATTACGTAACTTAGAACTGAAAAAGTTTTCAGGAAAATCGGTCCAGCCATTTTTTTTGCAGAACCAAAAAACTATAATAAGCTATAATAGTCAATAATATGGAATTGTGTTTATAACAATTGAACATTGTTACTAACAAGTGATTATTGAAAATAGTAATATTTAAATAATAAATTTAAATTGTTATAAACAATAAAAAAAGGGATCCATTCTATATATACATATATGTGTACTTTTAACGCATAATTTTTTCTTTTACTGAAATAAAGTAACTAACTGTGTCAAATGAATAAAAACAGACTCATTTCGTTTATAACAATTCTATTTGTTATAAAAAATGGAAACAGGTTTTATACGAATTGTTTTTTCATTTTTTCCACTGGGAAGTTGGTCGTGTGGACCTTTCGGGTCGCACCCAGACCACTGCAGAGCACTGATATTTTTTTAAGTGTAATTTGATTTCTTTAGTAAAATGAATTTTTCCTATTTGGAGGGATTTGAACCTTCGACCGCCCGCTCGCACGCAACTTAAACCTACGTTTTTACCCACTAGGATAGCCAAAGCCATGCTTCCCTCCGTCCGAAGGACGGTAATGAATACCTCGCCCCTTTGGGCATAACTCTGGGAAATTATACTACACTACTATCTTAGCGATGGCATTTCCCGGGACGCATATACCTGCACCTAGAACAGGCACAGGGATACACGTAACAAGCCCGAGGCCTTACGACATACCACTACGAGTCCGACCTCAATTGGCCAGTTGTACCTGGTCCTACATGTCATATTTTGACTTTGCAGCCCCAGGCACAGGGCTTGGAATTTGGCCTCCCGTAGTACCAACTTTCTCCGCTTTGGTCGGCGGTCGCTAACGCGTCTCGTGCTCGGCGTGTTCGACGTACCCCCATTCAGACTGCCATATAGGGCAGTACGAAAGTGGGGTACGACGGATTATAGTCTAATCTGCCCCCGTTGTTGCGCGACATATCTTAAGAGCAGAGACATCTATGCAACCCCGGGGGCCCTACCCACTAGGATATTCTGATACTTAATTCCCAAATTGAAAATAGGCCTATAGGCCTATTTGTTTATATATATATAAACATATATTTTAGTTACATGTATAATTATATAGAAAAATGGGGTGCCATACTCAATCTCGGATGCGAAGAATGTCAATCATAAATCTAGTACTAAAATTAAATTCCCTATATTCAATATATAAAATTTAAATTTTAAAATCATCTTTTTAGATCACTCTGCAATCAACAACGAGTAAAAAAAGACAAAGGTTTTTTTCATACAAAAATTGCAACATAATTCTATTTGCATTTCAGTATATCGATAGAAAAAAATTATACAATAAATTGCCTGTTGATTTATATTATTTTATAATGCAAAGGTTCATTTTATCCACTTATATTGATTCTAGCGCCATCTATATTCCTGCTGTCGATAAAGTAGTTTTTGTAAGATAAGTGAAATACCAACGTAGAAATACTAACAATAAATTCAAACAAATCACATTGTTTACAAAAAATCTTTTTTTATGAAATTGTTTTAAATTTGTAATAATCGTCGTTCAAAATAAATTGTTAAAGGTAATATTGTAACTATTTCAGTTTCATTTTATTTAGAATATTTATTTTTAACTCTATTTATTACATTTATGCGTACAATGTTTTTCATATTCAAATGGAACGTTTATAAAACAAACTTTAAGAAAACGAGATACAAAAACTTCATTAAAAAAAACATAAAAATTTAATGATCACTTCAACTAAACTTTGAGACACTTTGTCGAAGAAAAAAAAACATGAAAACTTATTGAGAATTTCAATAGAGAAAATTTTTTTGAAATCGTAATGTAATGATTAAGATCACACAGCTTTAATTTACGTAGCTAATCATTTATTGAGCCCAGAATCTGCATCTGTATTCAAAAAATGACATTTATTTATGGTATAATGAATGTCATCTTGTACAAATCTATCTCCTGAAAGATTTCCAGATGACGATAATCCTCAAAATTATAAACTGAAATATTTCCAATTCCATTAATGCATAATGTCTATTTTAAATTTTTCATTATAGTTATTTCTAGATGTATTTTATTACCTACCAGTATTATCATACGATATGAGTTGTATTGATGATTCTAATTCATCCATTTGTAAATTTGCAAACGATTTTAGATCATAGCTTGCACATGCAAGGAATTGAGGTATTGTTATCAAGCCTAGTTGGAAGATATTCCACAGTTTTAATAATTTTTCATTGTAAATAACATTTTTATTCGCATCTTACGTCTGGTTACATTACCCATCACCACACTTTTGTATTCCAGTAATGCATTTTGTTGCATTTCATTCAGATATGCTAAAATCGTTGATAAATTTTGTAAAAAAAATGTACTTGAGCATATCCAAATAAATGACAAAAATACTCACCAGTAAACTGCCAAATTTGTGGGTGTACACCAAATTTTTGTTGTGTAACTCGATTGTATGATTCACAAAAATTGTTCGTTCTGTGAATCATATTAAAAACGCTTAGTCGTTCTGGACGTAATCTCCTTATCCACTGACGATTATAGTATGCGAGAAACTCCTGGAATATAGCTGTCATACATTGTGGAATATTTTTTCTTAACCAATCGAAAGCTTCTTTTATATTTTCACTAGGAAGCAGGGGTAAAGATAGAAATTTTTTAACAATTACTCTTCCCAAACTGCATTGCTGGAGAAAAGGTAGTAGCCAAAGACTTTTTAATTTTTTTCATAAGTGCCTGTAAAATCACATCAATAAATTAGTAGAGGAAAACAAGAATAGGAATTTTGTTATTAACTTGTTTCTTTAACGATTAGTTGTATAGACATTACTTGGACATAGTGAAACAAACATCGCCTATGTGAAGCTCAAGGATAATTTATGTTGATAGCTAACGAAAGACCTGCCTCAAAATCAGACGTGATCGTTTCTGGATCTATCTGTGATGCAAGAACAGTAGAGAAATGTTGTGGTAACTTAGTGTCTGCTATAGCAGTTTTCCTTCCATCAAGCTCTACATAATTGGAATAGCCTGAAAAATACAAAATTAATTCTTTTTGTAATAATTTTAATAAAACAAATGAACTAATTAATCAATCAAACTATTTAAAAATTTTTCTAACATCAAATCATATTAAATCCTTATAAAGTATATAACAAGTCTTCATTTGATTGAATCACTTATTTGTTCTCCTTGTTTTACTGCTAAATTTTCATTGCAACCAATAATTAATTAAAATTTAAGGAAAAATTTTCAAAATAATATCTCATATTTAAAGAGAAAATTTAAGATGTTAATTAACGAAAAAAGAAATTAATAATTGATGATAAAAATAAACCGATGTTTCCGTCATAATAATAGAACTTATCGTTAGTTCATGATAATTTGTTATGCATTCATAGACTTTTTTTCTATATCAATGAAACGTAAGATAAAATAATTACAAATTTTCTTATATACTCACAATGTTGTTGACTAATGCTAAAATTATAAATAATTGTTGTGTTTTCGGAGTTTTCGGTACAACTTTAAACGTGGCATCCATCATCAAATGCGATGTTTGTATAGATCGTAACAATGTCATGTTACCGAATACAGTAAAATGTGAACCATCACCACACTCTATAGTTGATACGTACATGGTTTTGATTATTTTGACTATTTTTAACTAAA